AGACTTCCCTTGTGGTATCTATTCACAGCCTGTTTGTCTACAAAAAAAAAAATAAATAAATTTTAGGGAATGGATCAACTGAACCCTTAGGGGTAACAGCAAGGAACCACCACAAAAAGTTCCAAACTGTTGGAGTAATAAGGGTTGAGGTATAAGGCAGTGGAGAGATAAGGTTGAATAACACCCCTGTTAGGTTGGTCCATCTACATTCCCCACTAAAAAAAAAAAAGCAGAAAGGTTGTGTAGGAAATCCATGATTGAAGTCTCAGTAGGTAAATCGAGTCAAGTAACTTGGGCAAGACCAGATCACAAGAATGACCACCAAAAGCTTAACCGGTTAACTTAGAATGGATTGATGGGCGTGGCATGAACTAACACTTGTGGCATATACATTCTAATTCCATGTGAAGATTGGTTGTTTGACTCTGGATTGCAGAGAAAATTGGTATCCTTAAAGTGTATGTTTTCTTCACTTGAATCTGAGACAAAAGGTTGACAGCACCTATCTAGTTTGTGTTTAAGGTTGTTGCTTTGATTAGTATCACCTGCCTGAGTGAAAATCCTCACTTAGGGGAGTCAGTCAGTCTTCAGTCACTTTGACAATGTTGTTTTCCCCTGTTCCTTATGTGCAATTATGAAATTGCCAACAAGAGTTTAGTTGTTTTGCTTGAGGACAAACAATTCTTCTAGTTTGGGGGAATTGATAATGGTTTATTTGTTACATAAAAGCATCACAATTAACTCTGAATTTAGTAAGAAATTGGGGGGTATTTCCTAGTATTAGTGCATTTTACTTAACTCGTCTTTGTGTTTTTGTTAGGTAAGGGCTGGATTGAATAATTGCTGAAAATTTGAGGCCAAGGGAATAAATTGTGGGCTGCTGAGGCAATGTTGCTAAGCTGGACGAAGAAGCTCCTTAGACAAGAAGCATCTTGTCATCAATGACTATGTCTCCTCTAAGAGGCATGCTTGTCCCCCAGCCGAAATCTCAGCCACCCCTGCTGATCAATGAGAGCAATGCTTCCACTTCTTGAAGAAGAGAAGAAGAATAGCCAAGTTTGGATTCCAGGCTCAAGGCATTGGGAGAATTAAACAATAACAAGCATGGGGAGGCTCTCATGATGAAGAACCGGCTGCAAGGCCCTATAAAAGGGGGAACTTCACTCTCAGAAAGAGGATCTCAATCTCTGGTTACCCTTTCAGTTGCCAAAAATACACAGAAAAACTCCAGGTAGAAGGCAAGAAGGAAGAGGAAGCAACAACAACTCAGTAAGGAAGCCAAGTTGGAGAGTAGCCATCCCAGTTTCTGCTTCAGTTCCATGAGTGAACCCTTTCACTCCCAGGAGTGGCTCAGAAACTGCACAAGCTTTTTTCTCGTCTCTTGAGTGTTAGCTTGAACTTTGTTTATTATGCATATTTCTATGATGTCTTTTGATGTAGTAGATGTATCATTAATCTGTATGAGTAGCTAAGCAGTTTCCAGAGGTTATTCTCCTCAATCTATGTTGTAGTTGTGTAATGCACTGGTTTTGTTCCTTGTTTTGAAGTTGAAAGTTTTTCTACATTCATTTGCTTGATCACTAAATTGAATGCATGCTAGAACTAAGGGAGATCTGGAAAGATAAACTTGGGTTGGATTGTTTCAACTTTAATTTATGACATAGAGGTAACAGTCTATGGTTTTAACTAAGATATGAATATACTTAGTTAACATAAGCATTCTCGAAGGCCTAAGAACTTAATGACTTTGTGTCTGGAATCAATCATTGGAAAATAGATTGTTAAGGTTGCAAAGATGACTCTAGGAAAAGTGGGAACTGACTTAGAGTTATAAGTGAGCTGAATGAACAAGAACTCAACCATTACAGTGCTAATAAAACAACTACAACAGTAAGAAGAGGAGAAGAACTCCCCTGGCTTCCATTCCCCTGAGTGACTGTTTCCATTCCTCTGAGTGACACCTTGTCTGACTGGTAGTCTGTCTTTACAACAAATTTGGTAATTAGCTGTCCTCGTGGGATCGACCTAGCTTTCATTATCTACAAAAATTTATAATCCAAGCTAGTAATATTTTTGGTGAACTCGGCACGTACCACCGTTTATCCTTATACTTAATATAAAGGCATAGTAGGCAAGAAATTAAATGCCCAAGAAATATTCAGTACCACCTTCAAATCGATCTCGTCCATCAGATTGGTGCAATCCAACGGCTAATATTAAGTCATTTATTAGGGGCAAAAATAAAATTTCACAAATTCAGTGTACTATTTGGTTCGTTTTTTCATTTATTTTATCAGAAGTTTTAATTAATATCTATCTCATCTCATCATACCTTTTTACATTCCCAATACACCTTTTTACATTTTCAATATACCTTTTTACATTTTCAATACAAAAAATACACTCAGCGACTTATTTGAGGGAAAAAAAGAAATTCATAAATACATCCCAATCCAAAAAAAAATTAAAAAAAAAATCCGTAAGTTCTTAAGGGAAAAAAAAACCCTAATCATCCAAAAAAACGACGTCTTTTTTGGCTTCTCCGTGAGATTTTGTGGTGAAAAACCTCAACTGATAAAACGACATCGTTATATACTTCTCACTAATCAGAACAAAATCCCTCATTTGCCCTCGTCATCCACCTCGTCTACCTCACCCAGAAACATTTATATAAAAGAAAAACCCAAAAGGCTCCGCGTCCACTGCCACCCAAAAAAACTCGGCGTTCACCTCATCTTTCTCTCCGAAAAAAAAAAAAACTAAGACAATGCTTTCTCTGCCTACACTGCCACCCATCACTGTTCGTCTTCCTCCTTATTACCACAAAAACCACATTCGGCATCAGATCCATTGCGTCGAGCCGCCGAAGGAGAACAACGGCATCAGTTGTCGAACAACCATCTTCACTAAAATTGAACTTCCTCTGAACAAGAAGAAAAAAATCGCCGAATTTTTCAAGTAATCGAACTTGGCAGTGTCGTCAGAATTAGGAAATTTGTGTTTATGAATATAGATTTGGAATACAAATCGAAATTTATGAATCTAGATTTGGAATACAAATCGAAAATTCTCTGAATTTGTATATGGATTAGAAATCTATGAGTTGGACTCTTCTCCTTAAAACTGAAGTCTCTTACGCATGAATAAGCTAGATTAACAACACCAGATAAATTCGGACTACTAGTTGCAGCAAACTTCATCCAACACCTCTTCTTCCACTTCTTTTCCGATCCATTAAGGTATCTTTCCGATTGATTAAGCTATTATTGTTATTTTTAATATGTTTTCTAAGTTCCTTTTCTACTTCATTTTCTCCATGATTATTGTAAGCTTCTTTTGATTAAAAAACTATTCTATTATTTGGGTTGTTCTGTTTTTGTGCAACATCGTTTTTTTCCATATGTGCTACGAACTTTTTACAGTTGTTAATCGTTATTGTAATTCCAAAAGATCCTCCTTTTATGTTTTCGGTTTAGATTCTGTGGATTGTGCCCTTTCTAAGCAGATAGAGGGCTTCTCACGGGGACAAGTAGGTGGTGATTTTTAAGCAGATTCTGTGAATTTGCCGGATGGCATCTTTCTGCTCGCCGTCGAGGATAACAACTGCTGCTTCTTCATCAACCTGCACCGCCGCCTGGTGCTCTACAGGATCAGCTTCAAACACCACGTCGCCACCGCCAAATTCAGCCCCAACGGCAAGTTTATCGCTGTAGCTGCTAGTAAGCTCCTCCAAATTTGGCGCTCCCCTGGGTTTAGAAAGGAATTTTTCCCGTTTGAGTTTATTAGGACATTTTCAGAAAATTGGAATTTAATTTTTCTGATATTCACAATTTACAGCATCTGTAATATTTGGTCCGAGTAGGTAGGCATTACTTTCATCTGATATGTTGCCTTTCAATAAGGAAAATGTATTTTTTTACGTATTGTGGAGATTACGAAAGAGCTGATAGTCCATCCTTCGTCTTATGCAGTATTAAAAGAGAGGATTTTTAAGTTTGTGGTGCTGAATTCTTACATTGTGGGCACACGTAAATTAGGATAATTTGCACTCCCTATATTATCATTTGATAATGATTTGTAGACCATAATCTTTTGAGTTTTACAGGTCAGTTTGCCCTGAAAATATTTTTTATTTTGGTTCAAAGCTGCATTGACATTGGCAGGTATATCTAGATATGCGTGCATACCCATGAGATTTTTTGTCATCTTCTATCATCATATTTGATAATTTTGTCGTTTATGGTTTTAATGGTCAATTTAGTTCGGTTAATTGATTTCGGTTTTATAAATTTAAAGTTTGATGGCTATTTTGGTCTGAATTGGTGTGGTTTACTCCTTCGGTTTTGAGTTTCTTGGATATCAATTTAGTTTAGTAGAATAATGCATACTTTTATAATCAACATGGGTCGTTAAGTTCTTTTCTTATTCTTTAGGCACAATTTACTTAATTCGTCTAGGTTCTCCATCGTGACCTTATTCTGCGACTTTGGATTAATCTTAACTGCTAAATTTACTAAATTTATTGCTATCCTGCTAAGTGATTTAAGATTTCCTTTCTGTGCTGTATGGATCGTTAGGACTTAGCATTTGTTTGCTTTGGGCAATATCGTTTCTTTGATCTGGAATTATTGTTTTTATAGTCAATTCATCTGGTCATACATATCCCATCTTTTGAACCACGTGATCTGTTGCTTGGGGGGAGCAAGGATTGGCATTCTGTATGAGATGTCGTTCGCAGGTAGATATAAATATTTATTATTCGGGTGGAATCTCGGACGTGTATGTTACTCTCCTGAATTTTTGTGAGGTGTATTGCTGGAATTGAAGAACGCGACATAGATGAAATGATTTTATCTGATTTTTTCATTAATTGCTTATGTTACTTTGCATCATAAATTCTAAATTTCTATTGAATGAACTGTGTGTTGATTCTGCATTATTGCAGGAGAACCTTGCGAGGTGTTCCACTGCGGCTTGAGAGCAAATCATTTCTTGAGAAGATGACTGTCGTTGAGCATACCGTGAGTTTTTTCTTGCCAATACGTGAAGCAGAAAATGAATACCTTTCTTCTAATGCTCTGGTAATATTTTTTGGATGGTTTTTGCTGATGATTTGATATATAATTACGTATTTGATTTTTGTTTGACGTGGGCTTTCCATGTTTGTACTCCATAAATTCATAGATCATGTTGGAGAATTGTTGCAGAAGCTTGTTGATCGATGGGAACATGTATGATTGTATTTATTGAGAGCTTGTTGGTTTTTGTTTTGATATGAAGTGGTAATAGAGTTAAATAAATTTGATTTATTCGGTTCAAAAAATTTTGGGACACACAAATTTACTTCAAATATTGACTGTTAAACCTTTGATATTTGGACTTCGTTGGGGAAAATACCCACTCTTCTCTTTGTTGTGGAAAATAATTTTTATTTTCCACCACTTTACTGATGTCCTTCTCTAATGCAAGTTGCCATTTTTAAACCCCTGGATGCATATACTTGCCGCTACGTATGCATACCTTAATTTGTTCACGTTTTTCTTTTTTCGTATTACCAAATTAAGTCAACCGGTCCAATTCTTTTGCAGGTGCACCTTATGAAGGAACTGTATGGAAATCAAATTAAAGAGCTTTATAATAGTCTTCTACACCACACTTGGTTGAATTCGTCATTAATGATTACAATTGGTAAGTTGATTTATGCACTTTTATGAAATTCTTCACATGTGCAGGGTATAATAGAAACAACGAATTGTCTGTAGAATAATTTTATAACATTTCAGATGTGGCTTCTTTTCTGCGTAAAGTGACTGTAAGTCTTAGATACGCTGATCTTGTCTCTATACTTCCAACTGCTGTTAGTGTGCTCGCATGGCCAAAGCAGAGTGATTCTCTCACAACGACGATGGTAATGAGCAGGAGGAGTACTAGTAAGTTCATTCCAGAACGTATGTCTTATGCAGAGGACGCATTGGAAATAATGAGTTTACCAGAAGGTAATTATTATTATTTTGTAGTCATTAATTAAGGTGCCATTTAATAAAAAGGAAAAGAAAAGATTATTTTTTCCTTCCCATCCTACAATGTATTATGTTGGGATTCATTTGGAGCCCGTTTAGCATAATCTTGTTATGTGTTTTGGTTCAATTTTAGTGCCGCTTTCACATTTGAAAGAAAAAATTTTTACATTTCAAATGAATTTGAAAATGGGTCAAAAGATTAACCATAAAAAAAGCCAAAATACAATGTACAACAAGATCATTGTCCAACAGGCCACATTTTAGCTGAGCTGCTTGTCATCTAAAAATTTGCAAACAACTTACCAAAAAGGCATGATGATCTTCTGATGTCTTCTATAAACTATGAGCATTGTTCTTTTTTTTTTTTTAAGGAATGAAAGTCAACTGCAGCTCTTAGTGCATTCACATTGTTTCTCATCTGAAAGCGTCATAGTATATTTGTTCTTTTTTTTTGGCCCTAAACCCCCTTTCAAATCCTTAGGGCCGGCAGTAAAGCTACTTTCATTCTACTTATCATTTAAAATCATATTCCATATCTTAAATATTAATTAGATTTAATTTATATTAAGAGCTAAGTTTTTTCTTGTGAATTTTATTTTAACTGTACACAAGAAAATCTCAAGCATAATTTGGACAGATTTGGCAACGAACTTTTGTATCACCACTCATTTTTGCTGCTCTACGTCAACTTTTAGGTATAATCAAGCTGTGGAAGCCAACATCTTTTTGTTATAGATGAACCTGATATTTCTTGGGTCAATTACTTTGTGAAAGAAGTTCCATCTAGGAACATTGGGCAACTATTTAGCTTAGAGCAGAAGCGTAATGGAGCGTTCAATGACATTATGCCATCATGGATTGATCAACTGTACATAGAGCATGACAGATAGTAGCTTAATCAATAATAATTGGCAAAACGATGCCTTGGCTTCAATCTACTATGGAATTGTATTCGTATTCTTTATTCTATAGTATTCTTTTCATAATTCATATATGTAGAAAGAAGAAAATATATGGTGATCATTGGGTCCTAAGTTAGTTGATGAAAGATTTGGAGTAGGATAACTAATCTATTGTTTGATAGCTAATGATTAGACTAAGGAATAATGTTTTGAGATGTATTCAGTTTCTTTCATTCCCTGAAACTCAAGGGGAAGCTACTTTTCATGCATTCTTCAACAGTAAAACGAAATGACCTTTTAATCATTTCTCTATTTCTCAGTGTTTTACTTCTTAGACCTTTCTTCCATAGGCATTGGATCCATTGCCGTGTAAAACTGATCAAAACGCAAAGAAAAAGTTCATATCATTTCATAAACTTCTAGGATCTGAAAGAAAGAATCGGGAAACAGAAGTAGAATGTTGAAATTCACACACTAATGATACTTTTTCCGTTTCAAAGTAAGAGTTCATTTGTGACGAGAGATTATGTTTATTTCAAATACGTGTTTGCTATTTTTGATGATGTAGTTTTTCATCTGTTAAATTACGAGGCAACCAACTTGCATGTAAATATGATCAATACTATTGTTTATCTAAAATAATTGTCAACCAACTAGCACGTAAATATGTAAAAACGTTATTTCAAACAATACAGAAGAAGCTATTTCAAGAGTTGGGATTAGATTACATTAAAGGGACTTGGTAAATAAAGAAATTTGTAACCAAGGACTAACAAAATTAAGTGATAAGTAGAAGGCGCTTTTACCGAACAATGCTGAAATTTCAACAAAATATTCAATTACAGAAAGAGACACAATGTGCCAAAAATTATAAAATAAAAAATTGAATTGTTACACTTTTTACCGAAATTAAGCTTTGAATGTGTTACCAAAATTTAACTATCGGATACGTTCTAAATTATGAAAGATGTATAAAAATGTAACAAAAACACTGGTCGCGCAACGCGCGACAACAAAAGCCTAGTCACTTATATTATTTGTATCTTTCCAAAATCCATTTATAAAACAATTTGCATAAACCATTAAAAAATATCCAAAACAAAATTAACAATGAAAACTACACCATATAGCAGTAAACTGTATGTTGATCTAGTTAAATAAAATAGTGAAAACTATTTCTTCTAACAATGAATTCTTTTCCTTTCAAAAGAGAAAAAAATGACGAATTATTCAATTGAATAAACTACAATCTTTTGTCAGTTGCCTATTTATATGAATATTGCGTGGGAAAAATTTTATCAAGGGAATTGCACTTTTTATAATTGCACAAGGTCGTGAAATTTTCAAAACCAATGTTAAGGGCGTAATAAATTCTTAAAACACTAGGCATACAGCATCTATAACAAATACTCCCTCCATATCGTTTTATATGTCGTTTAAGGATTTACACACAGTTTAAGGAATGACATTAAAAGACCAAATAACCCTTATTTACTCAAAATAGAACTCTAATCCCAATTCCAACCTTAAACACAATTCTCATTGGAACTAGGAGTTCTGACGGCCGACGATCAAAATTCCCACCATGGAGTGAAGTTGAAGTAGTTTGCTTCATGATAGAAAAAATTGGCGGCATGTTTTTGTTTTTTTGGGAAAATATTTGATTTCCTATTTTAAAAAATGAGCGCCATTAGCTTGATTCCAAAATTTGAAATTTTGTTTTTTCTCTTATTTATAGTTGGGATTTCATTGTGGAAACCAAAAGATGAGAGCAATCGATGAATTCAACACAAAGTGAGGATGATGATCAAGAAAAGTTGTGTTTTGATCTCAATAATAGTCCTCCATCTGATTCGTATGAAAAAGAAGATGAGGGTGCACATCCTTTCAACTTAAACTTGCCACCAATAGAAGAAATAGAGGTTGTTTATTTGGATGGTGATGGTGATGGTGATGGTAATTATTTTGAAGAAGGATTTGAGGGAGATTTTGTTAACGACTTTGAAGAGTTAGAAGAAGAACTTGGAGATGATTCCTTTGAAGAAGAGTTGGAGTAAGGATTTAATGGTGATCATTTTGAAGAAACTAACGGTGACAACTTCGATGAAGAATCGGAACAAGAAGCTAATGATGATCAATCGGAACAACAAGAAGGAACAAACGAAGGTACATGTTTTTCTCTTTTTTTTTCTAATTCGATTATTTTTCTCATATTGTTTTTTTCTTTTTTCATACTTTGTTGTGTTGTAGATTTTGGGTTTCTAAATTTTAGGATAAAAACCTACAAATTTTGTACTCCACGATGATAATTGTTGATGAATAAAACTAATTCACGATGCAAGCTTGTTCTTTATTCTGGCCATTTTGAACTAATCACGATGAAGATTGATGATAAATTGAACTAATTGATGATGACTACTTGTTCTCTATTCTGGCCATTTTGAGTAAAAGAAACTAGTCCTATGTCCCCCTTTGATGAAAGTTCATGTGATATTATCTAAGTGCTTCATAAGAAATTTTGAAGGATTTTTATCATTCACATAAGCTATAGATTCAGTGATTTAGAATTCCCTCCTATATGAAGGCGGATGAGTATAATCGCAAAAATCTAATGGATTAAATGCATATGTTTTAAAGAAGCCAACAAACCAAACTAGTCAATATCTATTCGTTTTAAAACAATGCAGACATGAGCATAGATTGCTGCTATACATGCAGATACAATGTACAATATGCAGCGGAAATTTTTTTGTTAAAATAAAACCATGTTGTTGATAATTTTGGGTGCCGTTAGTTTTTTTTTTTTTTTTGGACTCTAGGTTCCGTTAGTCAATGATGATTAGTCAATGATGATTGTTTTTTTATATCACAGCATAATCCTACATGAGCTAGTTTTTGAGACTTGGCTTGTTTTTCTTCATCGCTTATCTTCCTCGTTGATTTTTCCATGATGCAATGTTACAAATTTTTATTTTATTTTTTGTTCATGACCTAGGAGATGTCGTCATCAAGAAAAGGAGGATTCTCACGAATGAGGAACAAAGAGTTATATATAATATGCTTCTACAAAAAAGTGTTGATGGAAAATTGCAAAGATGGGTGACAACTGAGGTAGCATCAGCTTTTTCAGTTAACATTCGCACTGTACAACGAATTTGGAAACAATCAAAGAACTCTCCTACGGGCGATGTATCAAGCCGAAAATCATCAAATTGTGGGCGAAAAAGAATTCAGATTGATCTTGATCGGGTTCGCGATATTCCCTACCATGAGCGGACAACTCTTGAGCCTTTGGCTTCAAAATTGAATATTAGCACGACTAAAGCCCATAAATTGTTAAAGTCTGGAGCTTTACGGCGAGAATCGAATACTCTAAAGCCTTATGTGACAGATAAAAATAAAAAGACTCGCTTACAATTTTGCATATCAATGATTGAAGAGAGTAGCTTACCAGACGAACCAAAATTCAAAGGTATGTATAATGTTGTTCATGTTGATGAGAAATGGTTCAATATGACAAATATGGCTTTAACCATTTACCTATTGCCTAATGAGCCTGGTCCAGTTCGTATAGTTAAGAACAAAAATTTTATTCAAAAGGTTATGTTTTTAACTGCCATAGCTCGGCCAAGATTTGACGCACAGGGCAATGTAACATTCTCCGGAAAAATTGGTTGTTGGGCTTTAGTCACTCGAGAACCAGCAAAAAGGAGAAGTGTTAATAGACCTGCAGGTACTCTGGAGACAAAACCGATTACTTCAGTAGGAAGAGATGTGTACAGGAAATTTATGATCGAAAAGGTGTTACCGGCTATTAGGGAAAAGTGGCCGAGAGAGGACATAATGCATCCAATATTTATCCAGCAAGACAATGCAAGGACACATATATATCCTGATGATGCTGATTTTTGTGAGGCAGCAAGACAAGGCGGATTCAATATCCAGATCATCTGCCAACCTTCAAACTCTCCAGATTTGAATGTTTTAGACCTTGGATTTTTTGCTGCAATTCAGGCTTTAAAAAATAAAAAGTCTCCTAGGACAGTGGATGAGCTATTGCGTGCAGTCTATGAGGCATTTGGGGAATTTTGTATTGTGAAGTCAAACCGTATCTTTGTAACACTACAGTTGGTTATGATTGAAGTCATGAAAGCAGAAGGTACCCACAAACGTGATCCACCACATATTCACAAACCAAAGCTCGAAAGATTAGGCATGCTTCCTGTTCAATTAAGTTGTGAGGCTGCTTTAGTTGCAAGAGTTAGGCAAATATTAAGTCAAGATTAGTTTTCATTTTGTTATTTAAGCTAAGAATTATGCAAACTCTCCATTTGTTTTTTTTATATAAGAACTATCATAGTGATAGTCTTTTGAATGTAGTAGCCATTTAGAATGCCATTCTCTACTTTGTTTGTGTCCTATTGAATGCAAACTTAGTGCAATCATTTATTTTTTTCATCTTTAATCCACCAAATTAGAAGAAGGTTTTCATAGATGATGCCATTTTCTCAACTTCCGGCAAGTAATTCCACTATGGAAATAAAATGGAAAAGCTATAAACAGGTGGATATCGAATGATTCTTAGCTACTAGCATTCAAATAGTATTTCAACCTGGAAGGTGAAATTGAGCTCTTGATTCAATGCCATTTCTCAGCATTAGCGTGATGTGAAATTAAGCTCTTGGTACCTTGCGAACATTTGCATTGTCCATTTTTCCTTCTTTTTTTTTCTGTTTTTGGTTCTGTTGTATGTTCATTCATACAGAGGTTATACCTGCACGTGCTTGACAATTGAAATTCATTCATGGTTTTGGTGAAGGATTTTAATCTCAAAGTTTCCTCAAAGCCTTAACCTGGACTATTCCAATTTAATTTTATTTTTTTTGAAATTTATGATGCCTTAAGATTGATCACGGTTCGTCGTAGCAATCATCCAAGGATTTGGATAATTCTAGAACATTTTTTATTCTCTTCCTCTGTTGCCTTATCTTCATTTCCTTTATTTGGCTTAAGCCTTAACCTTTCTTACATTTGGTGTATAGGGCTAAAGCATGAGTATAAAACTGCAAACGCGTCAAAGAATTGTTGTTTCAAATCAACATAGTAGCAGGGCTAGCTGGTTTAATGTAAAAATCTGATTAATCTAATTGAAAATTTTCAAACAAAACTCTCCTCCTTAGTTTCGGCGATTAGAAATCCCAGCTGCTCAAGCACAAATCTCCCCACCGATCATCATCTCCCACCATTGATATGCAATGCTCAGACATGACAAAGAGGAAGAAAAAAGAAGATTGAGTGTCCAGTCCTATAACTCTGGTCATGAAAATACATGAATTGCATGGTTCAAAAAATAATCTTCAAAGTGATGGGGCAAATTTTTTCGCACCTCTACAGCAAATTTAACAGATTTTTGTGGCTCTCATACACTTTGCTCAATGAACAAATATATTGAAATTCATGTGCCATTTGTCCTCCACATGATCAAAAGAAATTCTATGATCAAGTGAGCAAGGAACAAGAAGGAATGTTTGGTTCAAATTAAATAGGAATCCTGAAAAACAATGACAAACAGAGAGTTTAGTCAAGCTCTTCATAGCAGCAATGCCACCAAAAACCAGTAACCAAATATGGTTCAGAAGGTAATCTACTCAGCTCCAACTCTTTCAAAGAATTCAACTTCCCCAATCTAACCCATCATAATACATTTAAATTTACGGAGCAAACACAGAACTTGAATTTTGAGGCAAAAGAACTTCGGAGCATACATAGACCCCAAGCAAGAAAACATAACTAAATTGACCACAAAAGGCAAAAACACGGTGCCGAGCATATTAAGTAATTAACCATTCTTGTAAGTTGTTGAATTTACAAGAAACATAGTTTGGAAAAAAAAATCTCAACCAAAGTAGAACCCATTCAGTTGCAAACAAAAGCAACCGATCAATACAACCAACCCAAACTTCTCATCAAATGATAAAACTACGTTACAAACTAATCTTTATATAGATATGGAAAATAAATTTTCAACATAGTTTTTATGGGATCTAAAGCTATTTTTTGAGTTCTGATATGATCTTGAATTTGTTGTTCTTCAAGACTGACTTCTCCCTCTTTTTCGTCTGGTAATGCATTCAAATCAAAACCCACCTCAGCGTCCGATAATTCATTCAAATCAAAATCCATACCGGCCGGAAGATTCAAATCGAAATCCTTAGGCTTCTTCTCATTCCTCACTTCCAAGCATCTCTTCACGATTGAACCTTTGGTTGATTCCTTTTGCGCTTCCATCCTTTTTGTTGCACAGGGGCGGCTGGAGAATTGACGGATTAAAAACCCCTTGTAATCTCCTATTTCCCGCCATATTGATATGAGAATATTGAAAGACTTGGGTAGTTGAATTCAATCTTTGAGAATTGGAGAAATTATTGAATGAAGCGAGAGGTTTGTGAAATAGGATTACAGTGGAAGGAGTAAGAAAACCCCTTGAAAAATGAAGACCACATAAATATATTCGGTTGCTTTGATTGAGGGCATTATTGGAAAAAATGAGTAAAAAACACCTAGAAATGTGAGAACGACTTATATTTGGAAAAAATTGAGATTATCTCCAGCGACATATAAAACGATATGGAGGGAGTACTAAGTTTTGGACTCGTGCACTCACACGGGTTTGACATTGAAATTTTATATAATCAATTTTAAAAAGATTTTAATGAAGGTTAGTTAGATACATATTTAAAGTAGTTGAATCATGACTGCCGTCTCTCTTTTTTTTTTAAGATTAGTAACCTAAAAATATTTCTAACAAAAATGTATTTCATTTAATGTCAAATAGATTTCAGTTTTTCTATTATTTTTTTTCCCCGAAACTACCATCGTGTTCATTAACTTGACATTGTCAATAGGAAAACCCTTACACTGACTGCATCATGATTATTTACTAATTAAATGACAAATGAAAATCTTGGGGCAGAATTTCACTATGACCTTTGTTATAATTGCCATCATTTTGATGATGAAAAGGTACTGGAGAAAACTGCCATTCGGATTTTTTAAT